TCTTGCACTTCAGTATCTGTAACTGTAAGCCAGGGACAATAAAGATGAGCTCTTCTGGAGCTTCTTGAACCCTCTGTCTGAAAGGTTAAAGATGGGTTTTCACTGTTCCTATTAATACTCCTCTGTGATTGTGATATAAAGGCGAGAATTTTCCCCTATGCAGTGCTAGGTCAAGTGTGTTTGAGACTGTCTTTAGTTCTCATTCAGCCAGTGGCTTTAGGGGCCTGGGCTCATGCTCTCAGACTTAGCTTTTCATTACTGTTCCTTTTGATGTAAGCCTGAGAGGGCAGTGACAAGCTTGCTTCAAGCTGGAGATGCAATTCCCTCAGTGCAGCCTGAAAGCCCTAACCCTGCTGTACTTCTAACTGGCAGATAACCTTTGGTTATTTGGTTATTTGGTGTCTGGGACAAGTGACAGGAGCTTCATCTCTGCTTTGCTTTCCTCTGGTCCAGTGCTGGCTTTGAGAGCCTGCTCTGGAGATACAAAAGACATGCAAAGTAGCCACTTTGCAAAGTGTCAGCTACACTAACTGTGACCCCAGCACAGAGATAAATTCTACCCTGGGTTTTAGTGCCAAGGAATTATAGGAAGTACAATGCAGAGAGCTCCCATGATCAGGGCCTGACTCACCAACAGTATCAACCCAGCAGGACCGGAGCATCCTCCCCAGCAGGCTGAGCATTGCAAAATGCCAGTGGAGTCAGCAAGACAGGCAACGGGATGGGTTGGGCCTAATGTGTTCATTTCCCTAATGGGAAATGAAGGGAAAAGAAATTACTAAATATAGCTTATTTACAAAGTGAAGTACAAAAGATGAACACTCCTATGCAAGATCATATTTACATGTATATATAGAATTTTTAGGTGTACAGTTGGTATATATAAATGTATGTTTGTGTATGTGCACATTTAGTCACTATAGCTAAATATTAGCTACATCAATACTAAAATCTTTATTGCATTAGGAAAGTCCCCACAGAAGCACTTCTCTAGCTGCTGTGAGACAGAAATGGTTGATCTCCTGCTGGGTCTACACAGCCTAAATATAGCTGAAAAGATGTTTCTGACACACTTGTCTCTCTTTATGGTTGTCAAATGTACTCTGAGTAAGAGTGCCCTGGAGAAAGGGGTTTCTGTGCTCTCAACATGCAGTCCTACTTCCTGTGAAGTAAATGGGAAAACAGCCTTGAAGAATGTGAGTCATCAGATCTGCCAAGCTGAAACCACTAGGCAGAGGCAAGGCAGATAGAGATGTAAATGCAATTCAGGCTGAACGGACATTTTAAATATGCAGCGTTGCCTCATGTTTCTCGTCTTTGGTCATTCAGTTTAAGTAAATGCCCTTTGGTGGGCAGGACACTAAATTTTTCCTTTCAGTTCAGCAGAGAAGTGTTTGCTATGTGCCTGCATCAATCATCTACCCCTACATCAGTCAAGACACATTTGCTGTCTGCTAGTTTGGTTGGTGAAACGCCATGTCTGGGCCACCATCCTGCCCTCAGCAAGCAGTTCCTGTGTTAACCCTCAGAGCTGGGTGCCCAGCATCAGCAGCCTCCAGCTTGTGAAAGACATTGGTGCAAACCTGCTGGAACACAACACATAAAGAGGAGTAAAGTGTGTGTTCTGAGTTTAGCTTATCCCAGGGACAAGGAAAGGTATATGGTTTCCTTTCTTTCTTCAAGCAGGTCCAGTCAAGTCTGATATTGATTTCTACAGGGGCAGCAACAGATGCTAAATCAATAGGAACCAGCAGAACAGAGAATGACAGTTTGTCCACACAGACTTGAGTCAAAAGGCAACATGTGAACCTTTTTGGGCAACTCTTCCTAAGAAACACCACCGTCATCAGAAGAGTAAGGATACATGTCTGAGAATCCGGCTCTGCATTTTCTGCACAATGAATTTCTCTCAAATTATTGAACTTTGTTGCTTTCAAAACACTACACAAAGTTCAGATCCTGAGTTTTGAGAAAATCTGCTTTGCCTGACACTGGTACATTGGTGTATCACTTCACACCCATACATCTGACTTACCTAACTGTACCAAGTGGAGACTGAATGGGCAACCTCAAGGATTCCCCCACGTCCGTGAAATTGTCAGCTGAGCAGCTGCAGCCAGCAAGAAATTCACCACACTGCCTATTGACAACTGAAAGTACAGTGGCATAAGGGAGTCACATCACTTTAAAAGTGGCCTCAGGGTCCTATTCTTTCAACCTTGCTTTTAGTAACAAGTTCATGATTGTCTTATGGCAATTTTCTGGTGTTTTTTTCTAATTATTGTCTTACAAGTTCTGAATTATAATGGTTTTAATTCATCTAAAGAGTTGCAGTGAGGCATTTGACTCATCTCCAGAATCTATGTGCCACTGCTTTCAGGTGACTCTGAGTGGCTGGCAGTAACCCATAGACCCTGCCTGCAATCCTGTCACAGGTGATGCTCCACTCCTGTATCTTGGGTGGAATGAGACCCAGGCTACACAGGTGTAGATTTGTTATTTAAAGTCACACCAGTGCCATTTCCCAGGGCTGGAAGGAGACAAGCCAGCAGGAGTCATTGCAGTCCTATCTCCAGGAGCCCAGGACTGAGCTCCACGTCCCCCATCAGCTCCGTGCCACATTGCTCCGAGACCTCGGGGTGCTACAGCCAGGTCCTCCAGCTGTCCCCAACCCTCTCCTGTCAGCAATACTTGTCCCATGCCTTGCTGCCTTTATGGTATTGGGCTGTTCAGGCCAAAGAAGCCATGCAGCTGGGCACAACTGAAGTAATGTAAGAGGGAATGGTGGCTTTACATTATGTAAATTACAGGTCCCGCATACTGCTCATCATAAAATCCCCATTGGTTGTAACGCTGTGTGATGGACTGAACTTTGCCTGGATGGGCTGGTTGCTATTGTTTCCCTCCTAAAGTGTGACTGATGCCTTAGACAAAGCAATTTCAAGTCAGATAAGGTAAAAGGGTGTTAAGAAGCCTGTCCTGCACAGATGGGGTAATGCTTTTCATCATACCAATCTCCTCTCCCCCAATAAGGCTGACAGCATAAAAGTCCCTCCCAGGGCAGGTACTGGGTGCTCACACAGAGGCCTGAAGCTATTCTACCTAGGGAGGCACAACTAGCACAGTTAGAAACAGGGCCAAAGAAGCAGTCATGTCATTGGAAAGGGCCACAAACCATCAAAAGACCCCAAAGCAGACCCCTCCCTGGGGGAAGTACTGGGGCATTCCCACATAAACCTGAATGGATATAAGCTATCAAATTCTTTGTTGTGTGGCTGCTGGCCCCAACAGATCAAGACTGCCACGATGATTCCAACCATAGACATCAAAATGGCAACAATCAAGTCTTTTTGCTGGGTCCATGGGTGGTGACATCTTTCCTTCCCACTATCTACCCTTGTCCTTTCCTTCTCTTTCTTTCTTCTCCTTATATATATTCTTTGTCATATTTTTAAAATTGTATAGAGAAGAGCCAAAATGGCTACATACTTCCTTTCCAGTGCAATCAAATTGTTTTAAATAAACTTGCCTCAAGAATGTACACTGGTCATTCAGCGTCATTTTACTGTAATTCACCCCAAGGGATCTATTGACAAGAACCTCACTTACCCTGCTTTAGAGGTGGGGTGTAACGTGAAGCTAGGAAGTAGTACACATTAAAATATTCAGAATAATAGGCATTTATTTTCAGTACTATTTTCATTAAATATTGGTATAATATATCCATGTCTGAGGTAATAAATTAAAAATAAACTCAAGATTTCAGTCCCATATTTGTGCTGCATATTTTTTTCTACCATTATACATAATTTTGAAGCAAACACACACAGTCTGTAATTCTGAATGCAGCTAGGAATATTGTTTTAACACAGTCACTTTTTGTTTCACTATAATTTTGCTGAGAATGGTTATTGCATGATACACTTTTAATAGAAGTTTTAGTTATACTAGAGTTTTCTATTAAATCACACATACCGTAATTATAGGAAGATGGGCATGAAGATGTGCTTTGAGCCAAAGATGGCAAATATTCAATCAGTGATAGCACATACTGCAGGACTATTGTCTGCCTTCACTAGAGCCCAGATCCAGCAAAGCCATTTCAGTGTGTGCTTAGTTTTAGACATGAGTCATTTCAGTGTCATCCATGGCCTTAATTTTTGCTGAATCAAGGACTAGCCAAATCAATAGAACTAAATTAATAGACTTCTTTAACTGTGTGTTATTTGAAAACAGGTTTGCTGGTTTCATGTTTTGTAAGATATTTTGTAATGACCTCTGTAAGATTGTTTGTATCAGTGAAGCACCCATGAAAGTTTCTAACCTGGTTCATAAATACACTATGAAAAAATAAGCAGCTACAATGACTCTCTTCTACACATTTTGTTAAAAGTAACACCTGGTTTGAAAAGTTATTAAAGTAATTTTTTTCCATGGTAAAATATATTTAAAAAAATAAACTCTTAATTTAATCATCTTCCATCAAACATATAAGCATGTTAAAGGGCGGGGCATACTTCAGGTATTTTCATTTATAAATGCAAGAGATCAAGTGTATCAATCTTTTGCACTTAAATGCTGGTGGTAGTAAGGCCCTTTCAGCTATGTCTCCATCAAGCCCAACATTAGTGAGCTAAAGAAACAAACAAACACAAATTTTGCTTGCATATAACTTTTTCATAATCCTGAATTTAAAAAAAAGAAAAAAAAAATCCTCCCTGCTTAGAAAAAAACTCCATTTAACTGCTGCTATTAAGAAGTATACCTCATCTCCATGTTAACTTTAATCAGTGATTCTGAATGCAAAAGATTTAAACACTCACTAAAATTGCTGTGGCACGCCATTAGACTCTTAATGTTCATAAATTGTGCTAATTCCCATTTAAATCAGGAAGCTATAGTTTAGAGTTAGAGCTAATGGTTGTCTTAGTGTTAAAGGTCTATTTCCACCAGATTTTCTTTATTCTATTCTTCAAATGACTGACAGTGCTTATGATGTGATCCTGAAAAACTGTTTGTTGTTATTACCAGAAGCTATAGTCTGTGAGAAAGCTCTCCATGCTCATGCAGTGAGTTGCATTGCTGGGGGACCATGGCCAGCACTGCCGTGGTCCGGGCCTGGCCCGGGGCCTTCAGTACTCCACCGAGCTCACGATCGCCATCGGCTCGTCAAACGTGGCCAGCCGCATCTGCTTCGGGGTAGGGATGGAGAGCATCTCCCCGGTGTCAGTGGGTGAGTGAATCCCATTGTCCATTATGTTTGAAACTTCCTCCTCATGGTCCTCGTACAGCGTGTTGATGTGCAGCAGAGGGTGGGCTGGGTTGCAGCTCAGTGCAGGTGTTGGCTCTGGCTTGACCTGGTTCAAAGCCATACTGGTGGCAGCAGCAGTTGTGGCTATATGGTTGTGGTTACACGTGACAAAAGCCGCAGCAGCAGGCACAGTTCTGCATGTCTCAGATGAGTATAGGATCTCTTTTGCAGGATGAGGGGTGTCTGAAAGAGAACAGAACAGGCAGATAAAGGACAGGTAGTCTTTCACCGTTCCAGTCCATCAGCAAGGAGTATTCTGAACCAATAAAAGTCATTGGCAGTCTTGCCACTGATTTCAGTGGGATCAGAAGAGGATCCCAAACTGAATTTTTTTGGGACCCTATGAGAAATCTAAACAAGACTGTTTCAAAACAACAGGGTTGTAAGCTCAGGGAAACAGGACAAACAAGAAGTGGGGTTTGTAAATCTTGCTCTTTTTTATGCATGCTCATGCTTCCTTATGTGAATGGTATTTTTGTAAAATGAAATAATATAAAAAAAAAACAACTGGAAAGTATATTTATTCCCTTCTACAGTCTGGCCAGTGTTTCTTAAACAGTATGATTTAATGTTTTGACAAATGTAATGACTACTGAAATCCGCAGGATGGAATACAAAAGGCATTGATATTTTCAGTGGGAAAAACTAGTGGTTACACATTGTAAGCCACTTGTCTTCAGAAAGAACTCAGCAATTTGTCATAAACTGAAATCTCTTTCCAGAAATTGTAAGCCTGCCTTACCTGATGGACTGCAATGTAGGTTTAACTCAAAAATAAAGTTGAAAATTTTTAATGTGAATGGGGAGTCACAGAGCCCCAAAACTCCAGTAATTATATTTTGCCCTTAAAATATTCAAGCACTAATTTAGATGAAGGTAATTGAACCAGAAAACCCCAGTAGTTTTGAGGAGTCGAAATCAGAGCAGGTGACTGGATAAGGAATGCTCTAGAATAGCTCACATGCACATTGGGGAGTTGGAGGGCTCTAAGGAGCATAGGGATTTGGAAGTGACAGAAACTTTTATACCTCAAATCACTTCTTTGCTGGGCAGTGGGGTGACGGTAGAGGTCAGTCTGTCGAAGCCCAGAGGGAGGTCTTAGCTTGTAATGAGATGAGAGCCATTGCTTTAAGTACGTACAGATTTTTCTGTAACTTCAACTGCATAGTGCTTCTTTCTTATGTCAGTAGCTTACAAAAATAAACAAGAAGATATCTGTCTATCAGTTTACCTACTAATCTATCACTTTTCTAAATGTTCAAATGGCTTTCCTCATCACCCTAGCACCTAGCAGTAATTGATATATTTGAAACACTCCTTTGAGTTAAGAAAGGGACAGGCTTCACAAGACACACAGGGAACCGAGGCACAGAAAGAGCATCTCCTGTGAGGCCACACAGGAAGGAATGGCAGAAATCCTGAATCCCTGACCAGCACCCACACCTCAGAACATCTATCCTCTGGTCCATGTAAGACACAGGGCAATTTAAAGCGTGCTTGAAGAACAACATCAACGAGTTTTGATCTTCTAGATAACAAACATATGCCAACCCCTAAGATTTGGTAGTCTAAGAGATCTTTTTTCCACAGGCAGTTTTAACTGCCATTAGTGGTCTCCCACACACTCCTAATGGGCTATTACTGCTCAGGGTACTGGTCATCTACCATGGCAGTTTCCATATGACTTGAAAATAAGGCAGGTTTGAAATGTGCCAAGTGCTGGTGGAGCAGGAAGGGTACAATGGAAGCCAAACGTGCCTCATTTCCTTGGCAAGGCATGACCACACTTGTAGTCGTGAAACCTGCTTACATTTGAAACATTAGCCACATTAATGCCTGCAGCCTGTTTTGTACAGCTCTACCTGTAATAATCCTTACCCTCTATATAGTTGTTAAAGAGAGAGAACCTCTGTTTCTGAGGCCTGCAAGCCTTGAGATTACTAGCTATCCCCAAACCTAGCACAGTAGGTCAAACAGTTCCAATAAACTCTGAGTTCCTTTGCTATGTAAATTATGACCTGTGGAGGTGGTATGGGCATTACGGCATACTGTACCTTTGAGAGAGGAGGTAACATGCACTACAACATTCTCTTCTTGGTTTAAAAATCCACCCTCTTGGCTTTTTGACGTAGGCATCGAGGGGATGGCTTGAACCTCTGGCTTGGGTTTTTTGCTACTAAGTATATATGGATGAACATCCAAGGAAAAGTGCCGTGTGTGCTTTTTTTCACTGCTTGTGCTTGGGATGGCGTTTGGCTCGCTCTTATGAGTGGACGATTGCTGTGAGGTTTTTGCAGCAGACTCCAACAAAGGAGCTATAAGGCTGTCTGTCGCTGTTTTTCTCCGCACAGGCTTCGGTTTATCAGGCTTATGGTTCTCAACCTTCATGATGGCTAGCTGCTCCTTGAATGGCTGGGGAAGGGGATTGGTAGTCGGGATCCATTTCATCTTCTTCCTTGGTCTCTTAATGATGAGCTGCTCATTAGCATCAATGTCTGCTGGATCAACACTTGGGTCTATGGTCTGAATCCCTGAATCACGCATGGTTGGAGTGGCATCATGATTGGACTGGGCCAATGCTGCGAGCAGCTGGCGTACCACATTGTCGTACATCAGATCACTTTCATTTGTAATAAAATCCAGACGGTTCAATGATTTTATGTGGTCCCTATTTTCATTACAAAACATGGCCAAAATGTTGATATCGCAAAACTGGGACTTCTGCCACTGTTTCTTGGTCTTTATTCCGACTTTGTTCAGTTTATCAAATATGAAGTTAGACTTGCGAAATATGAAGAGGTGAATCAAGTTGATGAGGATTATCAAGTTCATGAAGCAGAGGAGGACGATATCTACACCAGCAATAATCCGCTGGAGCTGGACAGATGGGAGTTTACAGTTCACTCTGATGTGCAATTTGGAGCTGCTTGTTTTGTCTGGAGGCTCACCTAGTGCACATGTAAATTCATTTTGCTTCTGTGTAGCATAGTAGGTGGATAAGTATGTGATTGGTATGATGCTTAAAAAGATGATGAACAGATGTCTTGCAAGATAAAGCTTAGCTAAAAAGTTACTTCGTCCTCTTCTTTCCAGATATTTCTCAAACAAGTTCTGCTCAGGGCTTTTTTCCTTCTCTGCATTCTCAATGATTTCTCTTTTCTCTCTCTCGGTTATCCCTGGGCCTTTGGACTGAATCTGTTTCTCTATTTTTGGTGCCCGCCCTTCAGCTGCACGGTGGTAGCAGTTATCGATCTCCTGAAGCAAAAAATTAAGCTCTGAAGTCAGTCGAGTGGAGGCCAGAAATTCCCAGCCCAGAGCTGGAATGTACATTATCCCAGCAAAAGCCAGCAGTGCATAAGGTAGGAACTTATGCTCAAACAAGGAGGGCCAGTGGCTGGCATCAACTCCTGGCAAGGCATCTTTTAATTCTGTCCAACAATATCCTCTGGCATACAAGGCTTGATCGCGGGTGAAGTTGTGTGGTGTGTAACAGTATATTGGCTCCTCTGTATAACAGAGAGAAAAGTCACTGCTGTGCATTTAACCTACAAAAGGAGCTCTGGAAAATAAACATTTCAAATGATATCAATTTTATTTTACTGTATCTTTACATGACCCTTAAGCCCTCCACATCTATTAGCCAGCTCAGGCTGCACATCCTCACAAACTCTATGGCAAAACTATTTACCTGAAAGTTTTAGAATAATCCTGAGTTAGAAATGTCAGCAAGAGATACATATTTTTGGTTTAATGACCTCTCTGAAAACAATACCCTAACCAACTGTGATGTGAACTCTATAAAGGTAAAAGACCTGATATTCACTACAAAGCTAGTAGCTGAGGATGTTCCATGCAAATGCTGAAAATTAGATTAAATCCTGATTAATCCCAGCTAAACATTCTTCTAAATAGAAAAAAAAAGTTAGATGTAGCTTAAAGCAATATTTTAATAATTATTAACAAAGTTAACTCATTTGATATGGTAGAAAAAAATGAAAGACATACAAGGATTTAGTCAACTGTATCCCTCTCAGCTAATATTCTTGAATAAAAGTGTCACTGACCAGGACAGAACCTGGTGTGCCAACTATTTATCAGTATGAAAATTTAATTCTACATTTGAAACTTTGGGTTTTTCTTACACAATGTGTAATTAAATGCAACTTGCCATCAGACAGTATTACGGAAGAAACAAATACTATGGACCAAGAAAGGTATCAAAGTAATAGGAGGAAAAGCATAGCAAGGATTATTAAATTCACAATGATGCAATTTGTCTCTCAGGAAATGTTTCATTTATGTTCTGGTGGAGGACAGAAGGGTTTGTCAAAGGAAATTACACCATATACTTGTCTATTTTAACACCCCTTCTAAACATTTGTATTTTACCATCATCATCAGGATGTTGAGATAGAGGTCCTGACCCAGTAGAAAAATTATGTTCTTACATGATCAATTTTTTTTCTAGCAATACATGAAAGAAAGAGAGAAAAACTTATGAAAGCAAAAGCAGCATTAGTTTCCCAAAGAACAAATGACCATTATGAAGACACCCTATTTAAAGAGAAAGACCATGTTTTCCTATTTTGACAGGTAGAACAAAGAGAATGTATTTTACAGTGTTTTGGTACACCTTTAAAAAATTTCCCAGAATGAGACCCATAAGAGGAGGCATGCTCTCTTGACTTGAGAATCACTCAAGAACACCAAGAACATCAAGAACACTCTTGCTCTGAATGTAGTCTACAATTCAGATCAAGACCAGCTCCCTGGAAGAGTGTGGTGGCACTGTTCTCTTTATAATAAAAATGAAAAAAATAAAATCATATTGATAACAATAAATAGAATATTAAAAATTAACAGACAAGCAACTCCCCCTAATCTATCTGGCTTAACAAATGACTCCTTACTTGACCAGTTACTTTTCACATGTGAGCAAATCAAAAGTCAGTTCTTTGGTGTGGAGGTATAAATCTCTTCTGTGACCTAGAGAGAATTAATATTACCAACTTAAACAGAGTTTGCAGAATAAATGCTGCTACTCAAAACAGCATGTAAAGTGAGTATGCCCTGCAAATTCTTTAATATCGCTTTTGAAGACTATTTTAAAATTATCTAACTTCAGTCTCAGTGGTTAAAGCATATAGCTTAAAGCACTTCCATTTCGACTGTTTTTGTGTACTTACAGGCATATGTAACAAGGAAAATGCTCCTTGACTCCCTTGGTTTCGTAATTACATGGCCTCCCAACCCTACCCATGAAGGGATGCATACAAAAAATTTAATCTCCTAATCAAAGACTTATTGTAGAATTCCCCAGGAGACCAAACAGATTCCTGTGTAAAAATGTTCCCATGGAATAAAAAAAAGGCAAAGCAGAATGCTGTTTCTCATAAGCAAAAATTTTTTGAATTTGGTATCCCTAAGCCAGCAGAACTCTCCAATATGAAACCAAGTTTCCTGTGGAACACATGAGTTGATTTCTCCTAGGTCTCAACATCACAAATACTTGGGAAAACAGCAGCAAGTATTCCTACAAATCAGCAATAAGGATTATTTTTGGATTCCTACATCAGCTACTACTATCAAATAAACTGATTATTTCTTTCAGTTCTCTTCACTGAGACCCAAAAGCTAGGGTGACTTTTGCCAAAATTGTATATATATATACAACAACAATCCAATATATTTTTCTTTCATAAATTAAAAAAAAAATAAACAAATGAAAATGTCTTAACATTTTACATTTACATTGGACATATCACTGACAGACTAACTGCATTCTATCCATTGCCACTGTTTTGGTGAAAAAAGTCTAAAGAGCTTCATGACTCCAGTTTGGACTGACCAACTGCATTACAAGCTACAAAATGAGGTTGTCCCAAACGGTAGGAAAAGCAAATGTCACTTTAGAGGAAATAATTCTCTTTTCCTCTGTTAAATGTGTTTTTGTCTGACCCAATTGTCTGTGAGGTTGTAAAAGATATCTGATTTGTCTGGCCACCTGAGCACGGTGTCCCAGTCTTGCTCAATGTTTTGTACCTTGTTGCTACTAGTCTAATATTTTCTCTGCATATTTGCAAAATTGGCATGATTTTCATTGTATGACATGTAAATCCCAAGATCCTTCAGACAAAAATGAATCCTTTGTAGAGCCAGTGGGACTTCTGTAACTGATTGAAGTGGGAGCAGTGGGGTTCCAATACAATTTTATTCAAACGGTATTTTCTAATATAGAATCATAGAATCACAGATTGGTTAGGGCTGGAAGGGATCTTAAAGGCCATCTAGTCCCAGCCCCCCACCATGGGAAGGGACAATTTCCACTAGACCAGGCTACTCAAAACCCCATCCAGCCTCACCCTGACTTGATTCCAGGGATGGGGCTGCCACAACCTCTCTTGGCATTATCTTTGAGCTATATTCACTGTCAGAGAATACCATAAATTTTGGTGTAGTTATTCCATAGGGATATTTAGTTTAACCCTCTCATCACAGGACTTGGCTCACAAAGCATTGCATCAGACTTGGAAGCTCATTTCTCTAGAAAATGGTCCAGACAATGGAGAAGAGAGGAATTCCCTTCTGGAGTGATTCAAAACAGAAGACCCATTTAGCTGTTGCCTAGACAAAGAACCTGTCTCTCTTCATTGACAAGAGGCTGCCAAGCAGGATCCACACCAGATTTTGAGTTAGCTTTTGTGCATGTTACTTCTTAGGCAATGGCAGCATTTATCCTGGCATTTAACAAACACTCTGAAGGTGTTTGATCCAGGTATAGTAAGGTATTCTCTACTGCAGCCTGTGTCCATCATTAATTAATGAAAAAGAAAAGCACCATGTCAATACTAATCCTGTTATGAAAGTTGGCAATGACATATAGCTGGATCTTAACATGCAGATGTGATGAGGACAGCAGAGGAACAAGTTGTTCTCACACATATAACTCGCTTAGCTGTGAGACCCCTGCTTAATGCAGTTTCAAGACGACAGCAGATTTTTTTTTTCCTGTTTTATAATGCTCTCCTGATGGGTAAGCAGCACTAAAATAAGGTTGCAATGATGTTAAAAATCAAAGCTCCGATGTTGGATCATGCCGTATAAAAAATGTATTTGCTTTTAACTTTATATTCATAAATATACAAAGTTTCTACTGATACTCTTCTTTCACCCTGAAAATTCTTAAGTATAATTCTTCTATATGAAGGTCCTTTTTCATTTAACTGTTCCAGCCACCATGAAATACAGCTTTTTCCTGAGATGTCACAGTTTAATTGCGTATGGCAACGAAGTAAAGTGCTATAAAGAAAATTTTTTAAAAGGTTTGGGAGCATTGTTATGGCTGAATGGATTTGTCATCCTCTCATGTTGTCTAGTTTAGAGCCCTTAAAAATAATCTGTGTCTCTGCTCCTTGGAAGATATATTTCTAATAATTACTACATTGAAAAAAAACAACCTTTTGATGGTAATATATGATGGTTTTCTATACCAATTTAAGCCTAAACATGCATGATAAGAAGCTTTGTTTCCCTTTTTTTCAGTATGTCAGATGTTTTCAATAAATACATTTTATTTTATTTATACATTTTACCCTGCTCACTATGCACCTAAGTAGCTTTTAGAAATCTGCAGAACTATCCTCTAGGATAAGGTATGAGAGAGATCTCACTGCATTTTTCAGACGTGCAATCAAGATGAAATAAACACAGAATTACTTGGTTGTGTAATATAACTGATTGTGTTATGCCACTGGAAAAATAAAAATCCCTTGGCAGCTAAGTTTTTTCACATGCTCCACTGTGCAACATCTCACCCCATCCCATCCTTTTAAGTATACCTAAGTGGAGAGAAGTGACTTGTAGGAGATACTGTGGTGCAGAAGTCATACCCCAGGGGAATAAAAGGGCATGGCTGCAGAAGACACTCAAGGTAGGGAGAAGAATAAAGGGAAGGGGCTGTGCCTTAAATAAAAAACTATTTAGAAAAAATTCAAACAGACAGTATGGAAAGAAGTGAAGTCAAAATATTGAAGCTAGGAGCTGCCAAGTCTGCTGCTTTTAGAAAAGGCTTGGAGAAATGCTTGTGGGCTTCCTGCAGGCACACACTCCCACTCCTACTGTTCCAAATGCAAGGTCAGCCACCTCCTTTCAGTGGTTCCCCAACCTCAGTATACTTTAGTACACATTCAACTGTCCTCTTTGAGAGGCCCTGAATTAAACACCATTTTCCAGGCTGCAAGTACTAGGCATGAAAATATGTTAGTAAAATAAATCTCCTGCTAAATTTCAAACTGGAGTTATAATACAATATAAAGGTTCTGGATTCCTCAGGAAAGGGGTGGGAATACTGAGGTTTGGGGCTGGAACCCTTAAAAAACTTCCCACTACAGAAATGAATCTCAGATGTGGAAATGGAGTTACCAGTGGAAAAATCTGATGATTCTTGCTCCTAGACCATTTCCTGAAATTATAGTCCAATGCAGAATTGCAGAAATGCTGAGTCCCACATCCCACTCAAAGCAGCTGATTTCAGACCAGCTTGATCAGGGCTTTGTCAGTCTGAAAACCTCCGAAGCCAGAGGCTACTCAACCTGCCCATGCATCCTGCTCAGGCAGGGACAATCTCCTCAATTGATTGTCCTCAAAATGCATTTTCATCTTCTTTAGGTCATGTCCAGCAAGAATGGCTGATTCATGCAGCAGCAATTTTTTTCATTTTTGAGAAATGGCCATTTAAAAAAATGAATGCAATGGCCAGTTGCATTAAGAGCACATCCAGTAAAATACAGCCAGAAGGCTATCCCAGACATACAGGTGGCTAGAGCTCAGGCCTCAGTATTGCATCTCAGTCGAAGGAAGAGATGCCAGCAGCACAGCTCACGGAAGCCGTGTTGGGGGGGTGAGTGTGTGTGCATACATGTGTGCATTTGCCCATCTAGAACAAGAAACACTTTGCAAGAAATGTGGCCTGGTTTATGGCATGCTAAAATGACACTGTCAAGAAGATATGGTGAAACTGTACATACACATCACTCCCCACTGTCTATTAAAAGTTAAGACTTTACAAGACTTCTTGGGAAAGCGAGTGAATTGCATCTAACACACTCACCACTTAAAAACAGAGGTAACAGTGACAATCTCTTAGCATTCAATGCTGTAAAAAGTCAGGCTTGCTCCTGAAAAGACTTAAGCAACTCCATGCATAGGACATTTCCCTTAAGTCGATGTTATTACTCACAGTGCATAAAATCTGGCCCGTGCATTTCTCTTTGAAGAACTGATGCTGTAGTTTCAAAACTTCTAAAATACTATTACAAGCAAAAGTTATTTAACTAAATGTGGACAACATGTTTAAAGTGCATTGGTAGGCATTACAAAAAAAGAAAATATTAATAATAAACAGTATATGCTCCTACGTAACAGGCCAAATGAATTTTCATACCTACTGCATTCCCAGCAGAATAAATATTTTTGCCAAAATATAAACCATAATATCAAATGGTATATGCCTCCTGTGACCTCCAGCTTTTAGAATTTTTTCTAGAAAAAGAAATCACACCTCATTAATCTTCCCACTGAAATGCATTATTCAGCATTCCAGTGCAGTAATTGAATAAAGCAGAAGAAACAGTAAAATTTTCCAACAGCAGACAGAAAAAACAAAACGGTTTTGAGAAAATATAATACAAAAACCTAAAAAAAGATGGAAATTCTTGGGCTTGCTACACCAAGGCAAAGGTAAATATGGCTCTTGTGTGAAGATTTCTTCAAGGATCTAGTAAACATTCAGTGTGACTGCACAGGGTGTAGGCAGCAGAACTGGTGATTAGGTGCTGCTGAATAGCCTGGATCTCCCAGCCTCTGGACAAGTGCCTAAACACTCTTGCTGGAGACCCAAGCTAAGTATCAGGTAAGTATACTGATAACTGTACTTACTGAGTTAAATACACTACAGATTCACCCTAGCCTAGTGCTTCCTAGCAAATGGCATCCTGCCCTCTTGAAGAGAGCTGCTAAATCATCCTCGTACCTGTGCCCAATCTGCCTGTGAAGATAAGTTGCCAATCCAGTCAAGATCTCTGAAGCACTCCTTGTGCAGTCCTCTCCACTTGTCTCCAAGGAGAAATATAACATTTAGGTAGAATCTCTGTGCCCATCACTTCCTGGTACACACATTTCTAACAGACAAAATAAATTAGAAACTGCCTCACTCATCTTGGGTACTAAAAGGATTGCACAAGAAAGCAGGTAGCAAACTGTTTATTTTTAGAAACAGAAATTATTTATTTAGTACTTTTTCAGAAATTTTGAAATGCAAAAGAAGAAATGTCCTGGATCCTCTTCTCTCTGGAAAAAATGAATAAAGAACATTTATGTTACCGAGGTTGAAAATGTACTCTAAGAAAGTAAAATATTATAATCTAAACAATGTATGTATCTTCCATCCCAGTCACACAGTCCACAAGGAATATGTAACTCTGCTTTGAAGCACTGTACCAAATGCTAGCTAATACCCAAATTAACTGTCAGCAAAAGGATAAATTCACTTAATTTAACTAATTTATTTCAACTTTATTTAAAAGATATTTAAAGGTTAGAAATTAGTACAGTGTAAGGACAGATCCCTGAAATTAATTTTGTGTGTCATGCAGTCCTATATAACTCACTGAGTACTCATATGAAAGAGAAAACATCCATCAAAATAAGCCTTAACTTAGCAAGTTAATTATTAAGAATTACTAGTTTTACTGAAATAAAAAGCCAATACCTTTACCTTTCTTAGGGGATATTCTTTCCAATCTGAATACAGATTCCATACCCATGAAGTCTTCCTAAGTTACAAATTTCTCCATGATCAGCAAGGTAAGGTAAGCCTTTTTTGCCCAATCTCTGAAACCACTTGTCCTGTTTAAGAAAAAAATCTTGAAAAGAAAGTCCCTAAAAAAATGAGATAGGAAACCACTGCTGCTATTAGGTTTTATTGGCATATACTCTGTAAGGATTAGCCATAATGAGTGAGATGTAGATAAGCAATTTCAAAGATTGATAGGTCACCCACAAGGGTAACTGCAGTGCAAGGGAAGCAGCAGGTCTCCCTGTATTTCTAATTTGGGTCTTTTTGCCTTGCAGTACTGCTGCTTGAACAACATATATTTTGGATCCATAGAAGTAATGAATTAACAATGCACTTCTCTAGAGCATATATAAATTTACAGAACCATATTCCCTGTATGTAACAGACCCTGGCTCTTCTAAAAGTAGCTGGTGTCCTCACCCTTACTGGCAATCTCAGTCTTTGTATGCCTGCCCAGGTTAGTCAGGAGAAAAAGACACCTACTCCTGCTGGTCTGGTATGTTGGAAACAGCAACTGTTATGAGGAGGGTGCAGAAACACTTAAATGAAATCCCTCAGGCTGCTCCTATAGAGGAATATGTCCTCAATAATAAGCTGCCATCTACCATGTGGTGGCCATGCAGCAAGGTGGTAAAGTCACTGAAAAGAGAGCTTATTTATAGAGACTGGACTATTGATGCCAAGATTTAAGGGAGGGTTAGATCTGAATTTAAAGGAATGTATTAATCTAAATTTAATTAATGAAATTCAGCCATGCAGTCAGTCCTACAAAAGAAATCTGAATAACATTAACTTCTAAATTTAGTGCTTACATGAGGAGGTGAGTGGAATTTCAGTGATGTACAGATCTGCACAGAAGTAGTGAGGTGTGAAAAGAATATTTTAACATTTTGCAGAGGTCAGAAACTGCCCGCTAGAGATGGAAACCCAAAGCATGGGGGTTGAACAGACATGAACTCAGACAGGATGATAATGTGGACTGCAGTAATACCTGAAGTAAACTGCAGGAATAAATGCTGAAATGAAATGAATCATGAAAATCCAGTGAAACCCATGATAAATGAACAATGGTGGCTTCTTAAATCAAGGGTCAAGTACAAAATACAACCACAGGAAGCAACAGGAAACAGCAGGTTCATTCTATTGCATTAGTATTTCTTAATGACTAGAAATTAAAAAGATGGCTTGTATTAAGTACCTCTTGGCATAAACACAGCACCCAGCAAAGTTCATATTGAAGAAGAAGAAAATAACCAATAGTTAGCTCATTAGGTAATAATATTATTTTAATAACATAGTGTTTGAGAGCAGAGATGAGTGGTCTACTGCTTTTGGAAACCTGGTTCCTCCATGTATAGAAAAATTGGGTTTTGTGAAGCATCAGAATTGTTTTGAATCATCACAGAAGAGACAGAAGAATCCGCCACCTGAGGCTCCCAAGGGCTCTGTCAGTTCCAGTGTAGAGGTCTCCAGACCTTCTGAAGAAAACAAGGATCTCACAGAAGAGAAGGTACCCAACCTCAAAATGTGAAATAATTACTTCATCATAAAAATAAAATGCTTCAGAAATAGTCACTGAGCTCTGAGCTGCAAAAACCACACCACACATCTCAGCACCTGGCTGCAGCACTCCTCCATGAACTTTGAGTCTGCATGACAGGCTTGGTGCCACTAAAGAAAAGCAAACAAATCCCCAAAGCTTGCTATCATAATGAACAGCTGCACTTCCCCATTCAAATGCAAGCATCTAATACATGCCTGGGACAAAATCCCAAAAGATGTAAATATGTGCCCTGATTTCAATGCTTTTCTCAGAATAAATCCTGTATCATGTGAAAAGGAATCTACAAGAATAATGTCAGTCTGCTGTGAAATTATTCGGCTTTTGTAATTAGACATATACACGTACTGAGGGTGTCCACTGCAGCTATTTTTAATTCTGAGAGAACCCAAAGAACTCAGTGATGATGCAGATTCTTCCTGAAGACTTTTATAGCTGTAAGAAAACACACAAGCTGAAATTTCCTCTACATCATGAATGCATGATTTCTATCTAGTTTAGAGACAACAAAGAGCCTCAAATACTTCAGGGTAGCTTTGAAAAACAGTCTCTATTACTCTTTATTTACCCACAAAGTTTCCTTTTGACAAAGATAAATAAATTAAGTAGCTCTCAAACAAAAATATTTTTGACCATCTGTTCAAATCTGTTGGTTATCTGAAAGCATGCAGCAGGGCTAAAATTTATCCATACTTTGGACCTCTTCCCACATATAACACTTGAAAAACTGAAGGGGTTAATAATGCAAGCAGGTCATTAAAGACATAAAAAATGATGATGTATATGTGTTGATGAAGTCTGAGAAATGAAATTTATGACAGAAAAAAATATCTGCACTCACTAGGAACTGCAGTGGAGTGATGTATAGCTTACATTTCCTCAAGAGTACCTTTCTATTCACAATTCAGCTGTGAAACTGCAAATCTTTAAATGCTCAAAACTCAGAGAGTCCTAGCTAGTGTACCTTGTGCACACCACGAGTTTGTATGTGTGTAAAGGGCCCTTATCCTTTGGGAAAAATTCCATCAGCTATGTGAACACCCAGCAGCCAAACTGCAGCCAGCCTGTGGGTGCTTGTATCATTTTAGCCCTTTTTGAAAATATGTGCTAAGAATGCACTAAAGTGGTACTGTGACACTCCTCAAATTCTCTCTTCTCTGCTAATATCACCTCAGAAACAATTTCTGCGCTGGTGTCATCAGTTTGTCATACACTAAACAATCTGGCTCTGTACTCTTAGCACTAACAAAGTCAGTTGGGAAAATGCCATTTTCACTTTCTTTAAGTGCAGTGGGAGAGCAAAAATGGAAAGTAAGATCAAAAGCTATCTATTAGGTAAGTCACCTAAGTAAGCATATGTAATTATCCTGACACAATTCAAAGCAGAAATACAAATTAGAAAAGTTGACAAGAAATACAAAATAGAACTCCATCTCATAATATAGAAATCTGACATATACTGTTTTGAACATACTGTAGGGTGAAAAGTGAAAAAGACATTGAACTCACACACTGTATTACACAGTATTGTAAGCATTGCTTATGCAAATGATTACAAATCAGAAAATAAAACATAAAACCTTGAACTGACACTTCAGTCATTAAACACTGTTTTCTTCCATTGCTTTCTTATGAAAATTTTCTAGCAGAAGGATAGTAGAGGGCTGAACTATACAACTGCTTAGAGACATAGAAATACAGTATTTTTGAGCAACCTCTTCTGTATTTTATAGGCACCGTTTTAAAAACCTACCATGAAAACCATTCTCAAAGCTTGGCTTTTGACTAAAGTATAAAAATCAACTGGATGAATGCTTTGCTTTATTTTAATAAAGTACCGGCAGTTAACAGCTTGGGTGGGAAAAGCAAAAATGACTGCAATATGGAAAGAATAATTCACTGTGAATAGAAAGCATGAGGCACTGCACAAGAGGGATATGAGTTAGCAATACCTTGACAACATCAGTTCGGAAACCAAAATATTTCAATATATTGAAGATAACAATACATAACAGCAACGTATTCCTTTGGAACCCACCACTCTCTGGACCCTTACAGACAAAACTTCCCACAGACATTATTGATGGGGTTGATTCTCAACCCAGCACAGGTACCTTAAATCTTTTATCTTCTAAAGTTTAATCAAGTTTGGTGTTTTACCATTTCTTTTATTAAAAGGATGACTTAGGTTAACAAAGAAACACTTCCAATGAAAAAGAATCCCAAAACCTTTATCAGAGGAAAGGGAACAATCCAGATTGGCTGCAATGCAGCTAAAATGGGAAGACAAAAGTGACAACCTATACTAACAAGCATAAAATTTGCTTTACCACCAGGCAGTACCTGGTATAGTCACCTATTCATGCACTGGGACAGTGCAGTGCTCTAAAATCTGAACTCTCTGATCATATCGGTTGTATTTTACTTGTGATTTGCACAGGAATAACTAACTGCTAGGAAATAAAAAGCTAGGTATGAGAAATCAAACCTCCAGAGAATCAAACACAAGCATGGACCTCTGCATAAACATCTGCATGAGTGCTCCAGAAGACGCCTAAGACTAGATAGGGTGTGATGGGGGTTACGTCACTTTTCTTACAGAATTTCAAACATATTTGCTCTCATATTTAAATTTAAAAAATAGTTTATACCTTTAAAGCAGATATCTTTTAAGCTCTTTTGTTTTTCAAACAAAAACAGAGCAAACCAAGTTTTGGTTGGAAACCAAAGTTCCCTTGGCACCACCCACTGTTCAGGAAACTCATAGTTAAATACTGATTACATCCACTAAGTGAGAGAAAAGTGCCTCAAAAACTTTATTATTCTCAAGGTCATCATACATTGGCCTCTAAATAGAGGATAT